AGGTGCAAGGTGAGCGCATTTGCATTTGTCGCCCTTAGGGCACTTGTTCTGTGCGAAGTCTCTGCACCGCGCCATGCGTGGGAAGTTGCACTTGTCGCCTCTGGTGCATGTGTTGCGCTCGGCGAACTCGAAGCAAAATGGTTTCGACGCTGGCTCCCTCTGATTCGCAGGGGTTGAAACGCTGCGGCGGGAGTTCCCACCAGCGGTCGATGCTCTGGAAGATCTGGTGTTCTTCCAATCCCTGGAATAGGTGCGCAAAGCCTTGCATCGTTCACCATTGCGACAATTGCCTTTCTTCCAGGCAGCGCATACATTGACTTGAGAACGAGTCTCGCGTTCGCACCGTAACTTATTTCGATTCTTCTCCAATTGTCTCAGCTCCAGGACGTCCAAGACGCGCTGTCGGAGCCAATCATAGGTACGATTCGGGCCGCTGGTCTGAATGCGCTGGCACTCGTACATATCTCGTTTCATCCAGGCATGTCTGCGAATCTGAGTACGAAAAAAAGATTCCAAGATCTTTGGATCGGGTGCTTCTCGGCACTCCAATAATAACCCGTCCCAGTCAGTAATGAAACGTTGCAAATCTTCATCTCGCATCCTCAGTTCTTTAAGGCGCTCGAAGTCGTGCAGGTCGTCATCAACCTCTGTCACTTTGTAGGACTGTAGGATGTGCCAGTAGATCTGGCGTCCTTTGAGCATGCGTCCTGCTTTGTGCTCTCTGGTTTCGATGAGCCTGATTTGGTAGCGCAAGTCTGAGGATAAGATGTCGCCGAGGGCGGTAGCGAGTTTGCAATCGATGCTCTCGATGTCTCCACTGTCTTGTAAGTCCTCAAAGGTACACTCGGGCTGTTCAGCCACGCATAAGAAGGCATATGCTTTGGACGGTCGCCCTGAGGCGGCTCCAAAGTTCTCCCGTACCTTTTGCTGCCACTCGAGCAGCTGCGTGATCTTAGGCAAGACAGGGACTCGGACGGTGTCTGACTCCTTGATAGGAGTGGTAGTATTGGCCGAAACCGCAGACAATGGTTGTGAGGGTATCGGTACACCGTCAGTAATTGGTTCTGTGCGCACAGGAGACACATGGCGTGTCTGTGCTGAAGCTGCAGCGGAGGCTGCTCCTGGTGACGTACGTCGTTGTTGTCCTGCAGAAGTTTGCGGTGCTTCGGCGGACGCTGCCGTCGGCCTGCGCAGGTCGGTTGCAGGTTGAAGGTGAAGCATGGTGTCGTTGGTGTGGTCAATGAGCTGATTTGTCCAGCTCGTCATGTCTTCGTGTAGCTGGTCCACCTTTAGGCGTGTGTACTCATCAGTGTCCCGAGAACGTTGCGAATACCGATCGAGTCGTTGCTCGTAGGCTCGGAGACGGGCGCCTTGTGCCTCCAGCTCACTTTCCAGACGTGCGAGGCGCCCCTCAACACGTACCTTCTCAGTATCTCTCTCACGAATAACCTGGGAGAGCTCCAACTGCGCGTGGTCCGCCGCCTTCTCAACCTCCTGCGACCTGTCAGTGAGGCGGGCGAAATCGTAAACCGCGGAAGGAGAATCCAGCTGGCCAGTCTGGGCTCGTCCGACACGCAACTCTGCCAGGGCTTCCTGTACGCCAGGAAAACGCTGCTCGATTTCAGAGATCCGGTTAGCGAGTGGCTGCACGACAGCGTTGGTCGCATCAAGCCTTTGAGCGATGACTCTCTCAGCACGTTGCAACATGTCGGACAGGTTCGACGAGTTGGCGTGTGCTTCGGAGCGAGGCGTCGCCGTAGTGTGGCCCACGTGGGATCGAAGATCGTGGATCTGAGACTGAACGTCGCCAAGGTCGGTGGCCTCGGCTGGTGGTGGTCGGTTGCGGAGCTGGTCATGGATCTCGTCGTGGAGGATCCTGACTGCTGAAACGCCAGTGTCGCGTACGAGCACAAGCTGTTGCTCCATCTGCGCGAGATAGTTGCGCAGGTTCTCGACCATCGCCGTTCGTTCACCTGAGTGTGACACCTCACGATCAACCTGGTACTGCAGCTCACCTACGATGCGTCGATCTTCGGCGATCCTGGAATCGATGATCCCTAAGGCGCCGTCAAGATCTTGGCGTATGGCAGCAGTGTTGGCAGCGTTCGTCTAAGCGCTCTGCAGTAGTCCAGAATACTGCCTGGACACGAAGGTTTCAACCTGGTCTCTGAGCTCAGCTATTTCGCCTGCAGCGGACGCTGCCGCCGGCAGGTCGTCTGAGATGGAGAGGTGGGGAGCGTCAGCTTCCCTCTGCACTCTCTCGCGAGGAGTGCATGGCCTCTGCGAGGCAGCACGCGGGCTCGACCTACTCTCGCCGTATGGGCCTGGATCCCCACGACGGTTACGCGAGGACGAGCTGCGGCTAGGACCATGTGTGCGCGGTGTCGCATGAGATGATACCTTGGGGTGCTGCGTCTGCGGCTGCGCCGCCACTGGTCTACCGAGTTCCTCGAAGGTGGCTACGTGCTCCGCGACAGGAACGGTCGCAGGGCTGGGGGTGCCAGCACCTGAAGTCCATCGGCGGTTAGCGCGAAAGCGCCCTGGAGTATCGGGACCAGTAAGGCTTTCGCCCGACGCAGTTGGGATTGCTCCCGACGGAGGAGGAGATGGAAGATCGAAGGTAGGCGTGCGAAGCTCCTTACTACCTGTTCCTACTCCTTCTCCTGCCCCCCCACGGGCGGCGTGGCGGTGAAGTTCAGCAGCTAGCCGCGCCTCGGGTCCGTCGGAGCTGGGGGGGGTACCTGGGACACCTACACAGTCCGCACTAAGGCTCTCCAACTCGTCACCGAGCCGTCGCGCCGTCGGAGAACTCGGACGCGAGGCCCCGATGGACCCCTTACGGCGCATGCGCCGCTTGGGTTCCATCGAGGCCGCGTGCGAGATCGCGACGCGGGGTTCGATGAACAGTGGGCTTTAAAGGGCTGATAACCTGTGTATGGGGTTGAAGTACAAGGGTACAGAACCCCTGATCCGTTGGTAGAAGGAAGGAGGGAAAGATGGATATCTGTTCCTCCTGCACGATCAAAGGTCTGATCGATCTATCCCAATACCTGAGCCCAAACGGCCAGGCGCAGGAGAGGTGAGGATAAGGAGTATATATGAGGGTATTACACGGGTTCTATTCACACCCATAGGCCGACAGTGAAGAGAATCTTCCGTGATGATTTCTCCATGACGCGACGGGATCCAGGAACCTTGCCCCTGGCAGGACACAACTCGGCTCTCTGGAGGCCGCTCGGAGCAAGATCCGGGCAGCCCCAGAACGCCCTCGCCGAGGCGCAGCCGCTGGAGAGCACCCCGAGGCTGGAAAGCCGCCGATAATCCACGTCAGCGGCCGAAAACCTCGGAAATATAGCCTGGGGGGAACGGGTCCTGAGGGAAGCGGGTCATGGACCCTGGGGCCTCCTCCCAGGACGAGATCTTCATCCTGAGTCGCCTCCTGATGGTCCCAAAGCAGGCCAGCGGAGGGCCCCATGAGCCCGAAAAAGGCGAGAAATCTCAGGACCCGTTTCCTTCAGGACCCGTTCCTAGAGGCCTCCCAGATGGGGATCGCCCCGCATCGCCGATGCATCGCCGATGCATCGCATCGCCGACGCATTGGCGATGCACCGGCGACGTCACCCGCGACGTCGGCGATGCATCGGCGCCGTCGGCGTGGAGAACATCAGGCTCCACGTCGAGCCGCATCGGCGATGCATCGGCTATGGGGCACGATCCTCCGACCCCATCTGCTCGGGCCCCATCATCTGGGAGGCCTAAAGTCGAACCCCCTTGCACCTGCCCCCCCCCCGACATGGCCCCTGGCCGTGGCCAACGGCTTCCGAGGCCCGTGGAAGGCCCTGGGAGCCCGAAAACGGTCAGGACCCGCTTCCCTCAGGAACCGCTTTCCCCCAGGGCGAGAAGTCGAACCCCTTTGCGCCTGTCCCCCCCCCGCAGACGTGGCCCCTGGCCTCGAGTAGGGGATGGATTACAACATTAATCTACCCCACAGTTCATTTTCTCGTCGAATCTGCGAACACCGACGTGTCATGTAAACGCACTCTTCGTAGATTCGACGAACAAATCAAATTCTGGGGTCCATCAATCCTCTCTCGATGGCCGGGCGCGCCCGGGCGAGCCGGGCCCCACTCGCAGTACGTGGGCGGCCGGGGAGGCCGTCCGCGGGCACGGGGAGGAGGGAGGAGGACGAGGAGGAGGAGGAGGAGGAGGAGGAGGAGGCTCCAGAGGCTCCAGAAGGAGGAAGATGAAGAGGAGGAGGAGGAGGAGGAGGAGGAGGAGGAGGAGGAGGGCGGAGGAGGAGGAGAAGGAGGAGAAGGAGGAGGAGGAGGAGAAGGAGGAGGAGGAGGAGGCGGAGGAGGAGGAGAAGAGGGAGGGAGGAGAATGAGAAGGAGGAGGAGGAGGAGGAGGACGAAGAGGAGGAGGAGGACGAGTACGAGGAGGAGGAGGAGGCTCCAGACGCTGCTGATCACGACGAGGGGCTCCGAGAATGAGGCTCCAGGCCGACTGCAAGATGCCCAGTTGCTTGCCAGAAACAAGCAGCTGGACTGGCCGACAGCCAGGTGAGTCATGCAAAGGGAGAATAGGGCTGGGCCTGTGAAAACCATTCCCAAACTTCTGGCCAGAAGACCCTCGTCTTGGGTACGCGGAGAACGGGGAGGAGGAATAGGAGGAGGGGGGGAAGAACTTGGACGCCCGAGATGGGTACGGAAAAAACAGGTACGGTGCCCGACAACACATGTTGTCCAAAAAACGACAGCGGCCGCTGTTGAGCAGGCGAGCTTCTGCCCCAAATGGACAACGACAGCGGCAACGCCTACAGCGAATCCTGCTCAGAATGAGCAGGAACTGCTGTTGGAACCCTCCCTCCAGGCTTCCTCTGCTCAGGCCCCAACAAGAGCTCGTTTCCACTGAGGGGATGCGCCCCGTTGTGAAACACCCTTCTGAAGATCCTGAACCGACGGGGAAGAGGAGGCAGGGTGGCGGGATGGACCGCAGGCTACCGGACAGCATCGCATCCGGGCTGCGGACCCTGTTGAGGCCGCTCGCGAGGCACGGTAGCGGCTCCAGAGCTCCTGGGGCCGCGGGCGTCGGGCACAGCACCTCCCCGCCCAGCACCTCCTGTCGGGGGCGTCCCGCCGACGACGACGACGACGACGACGACGACGACGAACGACGACGACGACGACGACGACGACGACGACGACGACGACGACCACAACGACGACGACGACGACGATGACTGCGGCGACGACGACGACGACGACGACGACGACGAAGGCGGCGGCGGCGGCGGCGACGGTAAGCCGTTGCCACACTCCTAGTCCTCGTCCTCGTCCTCGTCCTCCACCTCCTCCTCCTCCTCCTCCTCCTCCTCCTCCTCCTCCTCCTCCTCCTCCTCCTCCTCCTCCTCCTCCTCCTCCTCCTCCTCCTCCTCCTCCTCCTCCTCCTCAAGTACCCCAAAGGCCCCCAAGAGGCCCCCGAGCGGCCCCCGAGGGGCCTCAGAGAGCCCAAGACGACCTTCAAGATGGCTCACGATAGCCCAAGCTAATTCCAGATGGCTCCCAAGATGCTCCAAGAGGCCCCAAGACCACTCCAAGACGGCTCAAGATGGCCACGCAGCCTCCCCAGGATGCCGCCGAAATGTCCACATCCGCCGACCCCTTGTGAGTCTTTAGGCATGTGAGATAGTTCCCCCCCCATACCCCCCCGGGACCCAACCGGACATTTGCACACACACACACACACACACACACACACACACACACACACACACACACACACACACCCGGCCGCGCCAGACCCCGGACTGAGCGCGTCAAGGGCGGGCAGAGGGCCCTAAAACAAACCAACAGGGAACCCACCCACCCCCAAGACGGCCCAGGAGGCCTCCAAGACGCCCCAAAAAGCCGCCTACACGCCCTAAGAAGCCTCCCAGAGGCCCTACGAGGTCTCCAAGACGCCCCAAAAGGCATCCAAGACGCCCCAAGAGATTTCCAAGAGGCCTCCATAGAGGGCCCCTAGGGGCCAAAATCGCTGATTGCCCCTATGTGTTTCCGTGTGTTTCGGCCTCTCGCCTTTTCAGCTTCCCGACGCTCCAAAACCGCCCACCAGGCCCCCAAGACCGCCCCAGCGCCAGAGGCCCCCACGACGCCCCCAAAACAGCCCAAGAAGGCCGCCAAACGGCTCAAGAGCCGCCCAAGACGGCCCAAGAGGCGCCCGAAACGGGTCCAAGAGGGCCCCCCTGAGAGGGACCACGAACCGAAACACCTGGCATTCCGCCCCAAGCAACTTCCGGGAAGCCCGAAGAGGCCCAAAAGAGGCCCCAAAAAACACCCAGAAAGCCTCCAAGAAGCCCCAAGAGGCTCCCCAAGACGCCTCCAAAAAAGGCCCCCAGGAGCCTTCCGAACTGCTTCCGGAACTTTCGCGCGTTGCCTCCGTCACTGGGAACCTGTACGGGATCTGCAGATCGCTCTTGGAATTCAACCCTACCGCGCCGCTTAGCATCGCAGGCAGCACAACGGTCAGGCTCTCCTCGTTCATGGGCCCGCGCAAGCAACCTGTCACATTCCCCCCCCCCTGCCTGGGGCATGCCACGCGCTCCCACAAACCCGCGGCGCAAGACCACTGCGCGATCTATCAACCACGTCGCGCGCGGGAAAAAGCTTTCACACTACGTGACGTCGTCATTCCGCTGACAATGCGCCAACGGTACCACGCGCTGCAAACGCTTATTCCACTGGCGCACGTGGCCACGTCGAAACTCCTGCCCCTTTTGCACCCAGACGCCAAGGTACTCTTGCAGCCACGTTCGACCCTCCTCGCTTACATTATTCCCCCTGTCTGAGGCTGGCGCGCATTCGGCAGCGTCGCTCGTGCTTTTCCTACCGCCTCCTTCCGCCGCTCCAAACCCTTTCGTCTGACCGCTGCGCAAATACTCCGGCGCCGCGACCAAGTCAGTCGTCTCGCGATACGTGGGCCACGCCTTTTCCACGGCCGCTTTCCTTTCCCTCCATCCTTCTACGCCAACGTGCTCCTGGCGACTCGCGTTCCTCTTGTGCCTCTTGTGCTCCTCAATCAGCCCCGTCAGCACGTCTGTCGTCAACTGTATAGGCTCGCGCAATGGAGCGCGCCGGTGCAAACACTGCACAAAGCCCTGCACGCGCAAGTGCAGACTCCCAGTCGAATTATTTTCTTCAATGCTGCCGCGCACCCCGTCCACGCGACCAAAACACCCGCCCACCGCCGTTGCGTTGCTGCCAAGCAAGTCCGCGCACTCGCAATCTGGGCGTTTCGGACAATACCGCATGTCCAAAATGCATTCGAATACCAGGCCCACTACGACCCGAAGCCCATCAACGCCCGCCAGCGGGCCCCGAGCCAGAACTGCTCTTCTCTCGTCCGACGCGGGAACGGCATCTGCCAACGTCGCCACAGGCACTGCGATGCCCACGTCGTCCTCACCCTCCACCACCTCTGTGCCCGATCTGCCCTCTCCCGCAGGCTCACGCCAATCCCTCGTCACTGCACCCCCTGATACATCTTCCGCGCGCGCCGGCAACGGCCCCCACAACCTGCCATGCGCGGCGCCGTGAAGCGCCCGCGCCGCACGACGATTCACGGGGCCCTGCTTTCACGACCGCGACAGCCGAACCATTGCTAGGTTGCGCCTCTCGTCCGGGGGCATGGCGAAAAATACAGCACCCCATGCGCGATTCGAGCCGCGCGGGCGTCGCGCCCTATCAGCGCCCGCACCTCGCTCGCCCCGTCAATCTTGCGAGCGACGGCGCTGGCCCCTGCAGCCAATCGCTTCGCTATCGGGCCGGGCGACTGCACATGCCGCAGTCTCCAAAACTCCCCGCGCACGTTCGCGGACTTCCCAGTTGACGGATCCTTGCACGCACCGCACAAAGCATCTACGATGCTCACGGCCGCCTTCTCGAGTTCACTCTGCGAATACTGGCATTCCGTCCATCCGTCCTTCCTATAGTCCACCAAGCGGACGGACCGTGCCATGTTCACAGAACTTTGAAACAAAACCGACGACACCTTGAAACCAAATCGCCACCCACACCCGACGCGTCATGATGCGCGCCCACAGAACCAACTCGATGCGAGGCGCCGCTGGGCCACGTCGATGCCGCGCATTTTCCTGCCACTCAGGCATGTCTGGCACCCCCACCCCGCACTTGAAACAACAAAACAATGCCATACCGAAAAACACGGAACAAACTGATTCATCATCGAGCGCCCTGGATACACGACGCACCGAATGCGGGAAGCGTCGGTTTCCATTATCTCACACAGCCGGAACTGCAGTGTCATCATATCCACGCGCGCAGCCTTGTCTCCCATTGTGCTCGTCCTCGCAAGAGCGCGCTCGTCTCCATCTCCATCGCACGGGCACTCGGGCCTGTCACACCTACCCGTCCACGTACTTGCGAGACGCAGTGCGAGGCTGCTTGCTTCTCTTGCAAATGCACCTGCCTGGACGACCGCGGTCGCGCCTGGACCTTCACTCTCGCGTTCTGCAAGTGACCTGCCAGACACGCGCTCCAACGCACGCTGGCTCAATTTCTTCGCGCCCACTTCGCCCACCCGCCGACTTCTCCATCATGGCGACATCCGGCGAACGCAAGTCCATGTCTCGCGCAGCCGCTCCCTCATAATCTCGCCCCATCGCACGGCGTCGCGTTCTCCTGCGCCATGAGCTTGCCCAGCGCCGCGTCATGCGGCAAGAACCGAACGATCTCTGGAGGGGCGCCGTCCTTCGGCAGCTGCTCGGCTTTTTTTTTTTAATGCCCCCACGTTGATGTTCACGAACGCCCTGCGTCCGCGCTTCTGAATTCCCCTAATGTGGGGCTGCGCCACCTCGCGCCGCACGTTCGCTCGATGCATGAAACGCGGCAAGTTGTCCTTAGCAATAGCGCAATTGATTATCATAAGGATCTGCACCACTGACCCCAACTTCTCGCTCACGATCGGCAGCGCCGAGCCGCTGCCCCCGCGCTCTTCCTTCTCGTCCTCTGGACGAATTGAATCAAGTCGCCGATGGGCTGCACAGCGTCAACGTGAACCTCACGGACGTGCCTGCGCAACTCTTCTGCGTCAGCCGACTGCCACGCACACCCCCACAAACGCACTGCGCACGGCTGGCAACTCAACAGACACGTCCACAGCCAGTGCTCGCGACCAGGGTTGCGCGGGATCGCCCGGGCCTGCAGGCGCAGTTGGGCGACGCCGCACTTTGGCCGCAGCAACCGCCACGGGAAGTTCTCGGGCCCGACGAGGATCTTTCGACGACGCGTTTACGCAAACATTAATGAAAGCCCTCAGCAACGCGTCCGCCACGGGCGCGTCGTCTTCGTGCCCCCCAACATCTCCAGTGTTGGATCGTCCCACATGCTGGTCTCCGTCCACGTCCATCGAGCCTGACTCGACCCTTGGTTCTGTCGCCACGCCAGACGCCGTTTTTTCCTTGGCCGTGCTGTCTCGGTTCCAACGCTCAGCGCTTGTGCCTTGTCCGTTCCTCTCATATCAGCCGCGCCTCCATCTCCACCGACAACCGATCCGATCACGCCCTCCGCGCGTTCGCCAGCGCACCCGGCCCCGTCGCTGCGCCCACCGCCATTCCACGCAGCAACCAAAGACTTCCTCGCATTGCCGCTGGCGCTCATGATTGCTCTGAACCGCCTCTGTTTGCGCGCCTCGGCTTAAGTGCCTCACGCTCCTTGCTGCTCGGTGGCGGCGCCGACGCGCCCGCGCCTGGCCCCGTCGAATCCCCCCGCCCACCAGCTTCCACGAAGTCCCGCGAAGAAGGGGGATTCCAGGCGCCCGATCTGGCAAAAGGCGCGCCACCTGGCACGTCGCCTTCTCTTTCGCCGCCGCCCTCTCGCCCCCTCCCCAACCCCCCTTCAGCGCGCTGCCCCGACACGCGTTGGCTCCACGATGGCCATCGACCCGCATCCGTTTCACCGCACCGTCAACGCGGCCAACTCCACGCGCGTCGTGTTCCACCCTGGCGACCCCCGCGACTCGCGCTGCTTCGCCTTCAACGTTCGCGCCCCTTTTTACACCAGCGGCGCTGACGACGGATGGCAAATCGCTCCCCCCGCCTA